GGTCATTGCTGTATTCAGTGTTTCAGATCCTGACTCGGGAGACAATGGAAGGATGGTTTGCTCCATCCAAGATCACCTTCCGTTCTTGCTTAAACCGTCTGTTGAGAATTTTTACTCTATAGTGACAAACACAGCCCTGGACCGAGAGATGACATCTGAGTACAACATCACCATCACCGTCACTGACATGGGCACCCCCAGGCTGAAAACCCAGCACAACATCACCCTGCTGGTCTCCGACGTCAACGACAACGCCCCCGCCTTCACCCAGCCCTCCTACAGCCTGCTCCTCCGCGAGAACAACAGCCCCGCCCTGCACATCGGCAGCGTCAGCGCCACAGACAGGGACGCGGGCGCCAACGCCCAGATCACCTACTCGCTGCTGCCGCCCCGGGACCCGCGCCTGCCCCTGGCCTCGCTGGTGGCCATCAACGCCGACACCGGCCAGCTGTTCGCGCTGCGGGCGCTGGACTTCGAGGCGCTGCGGGCGTTCGAGTTCGGCGTGGGCGCCACGGACCGCGGGGCGCCCGCGCTGAGCAGCCAGGCGCTGGTGCGCGTGCAGGTGCTGGACGCCAACGACAACGCGCCCTCCGTGCTGTACCCGCCGCACAACGGCTCCGCGCCCTGCACCGAGCTGGTGCCCAGGGCAGCCGAGCCGGGCTACCTGGTGAGCAAGGTGGTGGCGGTGGACGCCGACTCGGGCCAGAACGCCTGGCTGTCGTTCCAGCTGCTCAGGGCCACGGAGCCCGGGCTGTTCGGCGTGTGGGCGCACAATGGCGAGGTGCGCACGGCGCGGCCGCTGGGCGAGCGCGACGCGGCCAGGCACAGGCTGGTGGTGCTGGTCAGGGACCATGGCGAGCCCGCGCTGTCGGCCAGCGTCACGCTGCACGTGCTGCTGGTGGACGGCTTCTCGCAGCCCTACCTGCCGCTGCCCGAAGCGGCGGCCGAGCAGGCGCGGGCGGATCCGCTGACCGTGTACCTGGTGGTGGCGCTGGCGGCGGTGTCGTCGCTGTTCCTGTTCTCGGTGCTGGCGTTGGTGGCGGTGCGGCTGTGCAGGCGGAGCAGGGCGGCCTGGGCGGGTGGCTGCTCGGTGCCTGAGGGCCACCTTCCTGGCCACCTGGTGGACGTGAGCGGTACTGGGACCCTGTCCCAGAGCTACCAGTATGAGGTGTGTCTGATGGGAGGCTCAGGGACCAGCGAGTTCAAGTTCCTCAAACCCATTCTTCCCAACTTCCTTGCTCCAGGTGAGGAGAGGGCTAATGAGGCAAACCCCAGTTTCAGGAACAGCTCTGAATTCAGTTAAGAATCAGTAGGGGTCTACTGACTCTAGTCTCAGTTAATTTGTGAAAAATCCCTTTTTCCTGCTCTGCCCATTGAGGTTGTTTCCTTTTATTTGAAATGTAAATATCGCATTTCAATTCAGTGCATGTTACTCGTGTTTCTAAATGTGTTGCTTTGTGGTATAATGAATGCTAATTTTCTTTGTATTCTCATTGGCAATTAGTCTCTCTGTACCTCAATTCCACTTAAAATGTGAAAGTAAATATTGTTTCCCCAAAAGTCTGAATTTTTAAGTTAAAGCATCTCTTTCTATACCTCCTTTTCCTAGGGCCTAAGTAATTTTGCAGTCGTACATTTTTTAAATGTTTGCTATTCCTACAGGCTTTTTTTTTTTTTTTAAATCCCAGAATATTTGTTTTCTATACTCTTAGGCTAGTGTAAGTTTTATCTTGTGAAGTCACATTGGCTAAAGCCATTAATATAGGTAGATTCATGAAAAATAAAGTACTCTGTCACATTTTTTCTAAATATATACTATCACAAAGTGGCCATACACGGAAGCTGTGATTCTTCAGAGATGTGAGAACTTTGACTGTTGTATTGCACAAACCATTCCCATTAAAAGTATTCGATCTGCCCTAACTGGTTTGGCTCAGTGGATAGAGCATCGGCCTGGGGACTTAAGGGTCCCAGGTTTGATTCTGGTCAAGGGCAGCTGATCTATGTTTCTCTCTCATCAATGTTTCTAACTCTCTCTCCCTCTCCCTTCCTCTCTGTAAAAAAATCAATAAAATATGTTTTTTTAAAAGTATTCAATAAATCAACCACTAATATTCCAAACTGCAGCGAAATGCATAGGACATGCCCAGTCATTTTCAAAGACATGCTAATCTTCAAGCTTTTGGTTGTTTTTGGTTTTTTTTAAGTTTGGGGGAGATATAAAGAAGTAAAACTATATTTACTGATGATCTGATTATGCATGTGGAAAACTCTACAATAATTCTCAAAAAAAAGTTACAGTTATGAGTACATTTAGCAAAGCTGCAGTTTACAAGGCTAGTACACAAAATTTAATTGAATTTATCAAATCTCTTGAATTTCAAATAGGAAGTTTTTAATAATTAAAACAGAGATTTTTAAAAGGTGGAATTGAAACAAGCAGAGATTACATTTTTTTAAAAAAAGATTTGAGGGAATGTGTATCTTTGTCCTTAACCAAATTTTAGAAACTTTGAATGTAGTTTAACATTGCATTTTTTTTCAAAATTTTTTGGAGCATTTCTGATTCAATTGGAAATAAGCTCATGGGGAAATATTTATCTTGGTCTGTCTGCTCATTCCTTTTTTTTTTTTTTCATGGACTATCTACTTCTCCTTTCCCCTTTCAATTTTCTACTTTTCAATGCTTTTTTCTTTTCTTTTTTTTAAAATATATTTTTATTGATTTTGTACAGAGAGGAAGGGAGAGAGATAGAGAGCTAGAAACATCAATGAGAGAGAGTCATTGATCAGCTGCCTCTTGCACACCCCCTATCGGGGATATGCCCGCAACCAAGGTACATGCCCTTGACCGGAATCGAACCCGGGACCTCTCAGTCCCCAAGCTGACTCTCTATCCATTGAGCCAAACCGGTTTCGGCGCTTTTTTCTTTTTAGGTGCTTGAATTATGTTTCTCAACTGCTCCCCATTTATTGCATGTTTAGCACAATGACTTGAAAATGATAGGTTCTTAATAAAATACTTGAATGACTGATTGAAAAAAAGAAGTGTCTTTTTTTTTCCACCTGTGATAGATATTGATATTTAAATACTTACAGGACAAACTTTTGCTGGAATTAACTGCTCTCTGATGCATACTGAATTTATATAGAATATATAGTTTATTAATTGAAGTGATCACTATTATTTGAACACGATGCAGTTATCAGTTCTTGCTGTCTCTTTCCTTCAACATATTTTTCCTTTTCACTTCTTGCTTAATTTGACTCACCAATTCTAGCCACAGCTTGAGGAATACAAATGGGGAAACAGTATTTTGTGTTTTATAATTTCAAAGTTGGATTCATCCAACTTTCTGTATTTCTTGAAGTTCAATTTTTGACCTAGACATTAAAATAAAATTTTAATTTTTAATGTCAGTCTGCCTACCTTAAAATATTTATATCATTTGATGCTTGAGCTATACTGTTAAAATTATAAGATGAATGTGAAAGATCTTATTTTGAGATGATTAGTGGTGTGGAGTACCATCTTGCTATCCAAAGTCTCTGATGAACCAATTTATTAACTGAGGATCTTGAATAAGTCACATAACTTTGTCCTCCCAAACTAATAATAACAGCTATGTCAATAGCTTGCAGTTATAATCAAATAAGATTATATATATAAGATTATATTATATTATATATATAAAATAACAAGATTATATATATATATATATAATCTTGTTATTTTATATATCACTAATATTAATACTAAACTTAATAGATAAGCCTTTGGGTAATATTCCTGATAATTGTGAAGTAGCTAGATCCAGCACATGATATTTGTGCTGTTCATTTCCCTGCCTGAAACATTGCACTAGCTTCCTTTTATTCTTAGAATAAAATCCAAGCACCCATTATTTGGGCCCTGTCTACCTCTCCAGCCTTCTCTTCCCATTTATTTTTGGGACAGGAATTTTGGGTACACTGATCTTCCTTCGTTGTCTAGAATAGCTATGCTTTACTGTCTTGGGGCCTTTACATGTCAGTTTTTCATATACAGAATCTTCCCATTTTGTAGCTGTACCCTGGCAAACTTCTCATCATTCATGTTCCATTAAAATGGCACATCTTTGGGAACTTTTTCTCAAACCCTGCCCCCCATTAAAATTAGACCTCCCTACCCATACTTTCAAGTTCACTCAGTAAATTTCCTAGATAGAACTTTTCACACGGTTTGAACATCTGTTCAAAGTCTTCACCCCATTAAATGGAAGACTGTGTAAGGTATATGCCTGCCTTGTTACCACTACATGCCCAACTTCTACAAACTTAACAGGTATCTGTTTCCACAGATGGAACACGGTCTTACTGATGAAACCAATACTGGTAAAACCACTGTGAAATAAAAAGGAGAAAGCTCTGTATTCCCCGAGTGAATGTTAAAATATGGAAGGAATGAGGTATTTGTGGTCTCCGGCTATACCCGCTGACATCATCTATTATAACTTTTTATGCATGAGTTCATCTTTTCATAACATTTTTTCTTACTATAAAAGCAACTCGTGCACATTTTACAAAAGTTGGGAAATAAAGAAAAACACAAATATGATAGTGAAGCACGTCATAATGTAGAGCAAAATCTTTACAAATTTGTTTAATAATTACAGACAGGTGTGGTAGCCCTAGCAGGCGTCCACTTCCGCAAAATCATATCAATGAGGACTCTGCCAGGAAGAGTATCGTCTTTAAATAAGGGCGCATTTAATTTCTCTAGGTTGTGTGTTTGTTTGTTTTTAACTCAAGTAACACAGGAAACTCCTCCAGTAGCGTCAACTGGTTTTAGAAAGGGGAATAAGCAATTGAAAAGATCAAAACAACAGAAGTTCCCAAGCATCTTCTGCAAGAGTTAGAAACTGCGAGCGAACGCATGGTGGCGCTGTTGACTAAGAAGGAGAATTAAACCACAGGCACTGTGCGTACTCCGTACGTAACGCAACGCACCGATCCGGTACGGCACACCAGGAGTTGTGAGCTTGGACAGATTTAAAGCAAGCAAATCTGAGCCCTGGAAGGGATTATTTGCTAGATCTTCTCCAAACGTTGGAGGCAAAAGACTTTGCATTTCCCAGCGCTGTCGGAGGCTCAGCTTGGCAATATTTCTTGGAAGAACATGGCAGGAAATGAATTGGAGGCCGGAGAGGAGCCATTTCTTAGACAAAGGCAAGTCCTGTTTCTCTTTGTTTTTCTTGGTGGGTTTCTGGCTTGGTCTGAATCGAGACGCTACTCTGTGGCTGAGGAGAAAGAGAGGGGCTTTTTAATCACCAACCTAGCAAAGGATTTGGGGCTCAGTGTAGGGGAACTGGCCGCGAGGGGGGCCCAAGTCGTGTCTAAAGGGAACAGACAGCGTCTTCAGCTCAGCCATCAGACCGGTGATTTGCTCCTGCAGGAGAAATTGGACCGGGAGGAGCTATGCGGCCCCACAGAGCCATGTATACTGCATTTTCAGATTTTACTGCAAAACCCTCTGCAGTTTATTCCAAATGAGCTCCAGATCATAGATGTCAATGACCATTCTCCAGTATTCTTTGAAAATGAAATGCAGCTGAAAATCCTAGAAAGCACTCCACCGGGAACAATAATTCCACTGGGAAATGCTGAGGATTTGGATGTGGGGAGAAACAGCCTCCAAAACTACACCATCACTCCGAATGCCCATTTCCACGTCCTCACAAACAGGCGTAGGGATGGAAGGAAGTACCCAGAATTAGTGCTGGACAAAGCGCTGGACCGCGAGGAGCAGCCGCAGTTCAGTTTAACGCTCACAGCGCTGGATGGCGGGTCGCCGCCCAGGTCTGGCAACGTTCAGCTCCACATCCTGGTCTTAGACATAAATGACAACGCCCCAGAATTTACACAGCCGCTCTATGAGGTTGAAGTTCTAGAGAATAGCCCCGTTAACTCTGTTATTGTCACTGTCTCAGCTTCTGATTTAGATATAGGGACTTTTGGGACACTAGCATACTCATTTGTTCATGCTTCTGAAGAAATTTCCAAAACTTTTCAATTAAATGCAATTACTGGTGATATCCAACTAATCAAATATTTGAATTTCGAGGCAATTAATAGTTATGAGGTTGACATAGAAGCTACGGATGGTGGAGGCCTTACCGGAAAATCAACAGTAATAGTTCAGGTGGTTGATGTCAATGACAACCCACCACAGCTGACCTTGTCGTCAGTTACTAGCCCGATCCCGGAAAACTCGCCAGAGACGGTGGTGGCCATTTTCAGTGTTTCCGATCCAGACTCTGGAGACAATGGGAGAATGATGTGTTCCATCCAGAACAATCTCCCCTTTGTCCTAAAACCATCCGTAGACAACTTTTATACCCTGGTGTCCGAAGGAGCCCTGGACAGAGAGAGCCAGGCCGAGTACAACATCACCATCACCGTCACCGACTTGGGGACCCCCAGGCTGAAAACCCAGCACAACATCACCCTGCTGGTCTCCGACGTCAACGACAACGCCCCCGCCTTCACCCAGCCCTCCTACAGCCTGTTCCTCCGCGAGAACAACAGCCCCGCCCTGCACATCGGCAGCGTCAGCGCCACAGACAGGGACGCGGGCGCCAACGCCCAGCTCACCTACTCGCTGCTGCCGCCCCGGGACCCGCGCCTGCCCCTGGCCTCGCTGGTGGCCATCAACGCGGACACCGGCCAGCTGTTCGCGCTGCGGGCGCTGGACTTCGAGGCGCTGCGGGCGTTCGAGTTCGGCGTGGGCGCCACGGACCGCGGGGCGCCCGCGCTGAGCAGCCAGGCGCTGGTGCGCGTGCAGGTGCTGGACGCCAACGACAACGCGCCCTCCGTGCTGTACCCGCCGCACAACGGCTCCGCGCCCTGCACCGAGCTGGTGCCCAGGGCGGCCGAGCCGGGCTACCTGGTGAGCAAGGTGGTGGCGGTGGACGCCGACTCGGGCCAGAACGCCTGGCTGTCGTTCCAGCTGCTCAGGGCCACGGAGCCCGGGCTGTTCGGCGTGTGGGCGCACAATGGCGAGGTGCGCACGGCGCGGCCGCTGGGCGAGCGCGACGCGGCCAGGCACAGGCTGGTGGTGCTGGTCAGGGACCATGGCGAGCCCGCGCTGTCGGCCAGCGTCACGCTGCACGTGCTGCTGGTGGACGGCTTCTCGCAGCCCTACCTGCCGCTGCCCGAAGCGGCGGCCGAGCAGGCGCGGGCGGATCCGCTGACCGTGTACCTGGTGGTGGCGCTGGCGGCCGTGTCGTCGCTGTTCCTGTTCTCGGTGCTGGCGTTGGTGGCGGTGCGGCTGTGCAGGCGGAGCAGGGCGGCCTGGGCGGGTGGCTGCTCGGTGCCTGAGAGCCACCTTGCTGGCCACCTGGTGGACGTGAGCGGTACTGGGACCCTGTCCCAGAGCTACCAGTATGAGGTGTGTCTGATGGGAGGCTCAGGGACCAGCGAGTTCAAGTTCCTCAAACCCATTCTTCCCAATAGTTTGGTTCAAGACATTGAGCAAGAGTAGTGCAAAACTGTAATTTTCAGGCATACCGGTAGCTTAGGTTTCATTAATAGAAGAATAAAAAGTTGTTTGACTATGAATACTTTCAAAATCAAGAATCTTTAGTTGAAAAAAAAAACACTTTAGTTTATAATCATTTTGTTTAGTTATTGATTTCCGTTTATATCAAGTTAGTTAATCCTTGCATATTTTTATCTGTTTTCTTTCTTAACAATGTTGTCTTAATGCCTCCTTTTCTTTTTCTAATAGGCAAGTTAAAATAAATTCATTATGTTTTAATGTTGACTTTAAATAGGTTTATTTTAAGTAACTCATTTCAAATTTTATATACATAGCAAGTGATAATGTTCCTTATAATATTCCTAAAGCAGCTTTTCTATGGTTCATGAAGTTTGTGGATAGATAAGAATGTGTTTTCTTTCAGATGTTCCATCTTTAAGGCACAGCATGTTTTTCGGGCTATAGTACCTAAAAGAAAGTGATACATTTAATTCATTTTGTTTTTACATTTGCAATTAATATTTCAATGTTATATATGCTTATATTGACTCAGTGGGCATAATATAGGCTAACAGGCAGATTACTCTTAGGTTTGCCTAAAGTGTATTCACGAGCTTGGAAAAATTAAACAAGGCATTTTGAACAACTGATTGTGCTTTTCCATTTGATATGAAAACATTGTTTAGGAAGGCATCTTGTGGGGTGACAATTTGGTAAGTAAATTTTAAGATATAAATGTTACTGACCTTGGGGTCCTTTTAAAAATGTCCAGACAGTACTTGTATACATGATCTACAAATGATTCATAGTAAGATTGGTGTCCCATTCAACCCTACTTTTTTATTTTTTATTTTTTTAAAAATATATTTTATTGATTTTTTACAGAGAGGAAGAGAGAGGGATAGAGAGTTAGAAACATCGATGAGAGACACCCATCTGTCAGCCGCCTCCTGCACACCCCCTACTGGGGATGTGCCTGCAACCAACTTACATGCCCTTGACAGGAATCGAACCTGGAACCCTTCAGTCCGCAGACCGAGGCTCTATCCACTGAGCCAAACCAGTTTTGGCATGTATATTTAATACTCTTAATCTTTGCCAACAGTTAGGTTGATCAAGAATATTTAAAGTAATTTTCCTTATCTTCTTTTGGTATTTAACACCATTGATGAAGAAAAGTGATATCAATCTAGTTCTTATTCTTTACCTGTAAAATTATTAACTCTCTTTTATATTTTTTAATTTATTCTTGATATTCTGAGACTTGCTAGGTCCTGACTTGAGATTTACCCAATATATTGAATTTTCTTTTGTTTAAGTAACTGTAGTTTTCTTTTTCACAATTTCCATTTTACAAGTTTTCACAGCAATATGCTTTCTCTCCCACAATTACTATTACTTTTTTGTTTGAAGAAATTAAATCTTTTACTTTTAACTTTTTTCTATATTGTTCTGAATTTCTATATTTTATTTACACATACGTTTATCTGTTGAGTCAATTTTTCAGCTGTTGGTCTTCCTCATATGCTTGCTGATATTTTGTTGAGAATTCATCTCCTATTGGAAGTTTCACTCAGACCTGATTTTGATAGTCTTGTGGAAGGGAAGAAGAGTCCCTGACTTTATAAGAAACTAGCTTAACTTTGCCACACACAGGTAGAAGTCCTGGATGAACACCTGTTGATGTGTTTGAGCTGGATCCCAGTTTCCCTTGGGTGGCATCACTCTGCATTTGCTCTGGGAGGCAAAAATCTCAGGGAATGTCATCCTCTGGTTGTTATGTGGCTGTTAAGGTTGTAGACATGGGAGCTAATGGAAAAATATTTTATTTTTCAAGTTTCAGAGTAAACAAGCTGATTTTAATCATAAAGGAGCTTATTTTGAGGAAAACTGATTTGAAACTATAGTGATACATTGGGGTTACCTACAGGAAAAATATTATCTTTAAAAAAATATCTATATATTTTAATATTTTTAAAAATACATTTTATTGATATTTTACAGAGAGGAAGAGAGAGGGATAGAGAGTTAGAAACATGGATGAGAGAGAATCATGGATCAGCTGCCTCTTGCACACCCCCTCCTGGGGATGTGCCCGCAACCAAGGTACATGCCCTTGACCGGAATCGAACTCGGGACCTTTCAATCCGCAGGCCGATGCTCTACCATTGAGCCAAACTGGTTTCGGCAAAAAATATTATCTTGATTAAGAGGCATGACAGTGCTGCACATGGCAGTTCTGTATGACACACAACATGCTGGATGACAAAACAAAAAAACCTCTGCAAAGCAATCCTATGTTGTGCACTGAGTTGGTGCCAGTACAACAAGATGCTAACCTGGATGGTGACTTGAGTTAGAACTCATGAGTATTTTATCAATGATTCAAGGTCTCAGAGTGAATACTTGATATTTAGCATGCATATCTAGGCTCCTATGTAAGCCACCTTTATTTGGTATGGTAGTTCTACACCTGGCCTAAGACCTATTTCAGCCCTACCTGCCATTCATCGAGTCACCCACAGTTATACCCAAGCCTACAGGTTCTCTTGTTCACTGGCTTGACTCAGCTGTTCACTGATACTCAGATGTGGAGGATGAATAGGGAACCTTCAATGGACTGCTGCATACAGACCATTTTCTAAGCATTTTGAAGATATCAACATCACTGGGACTTTTATTGTGAGAGTTTTCTGACTGGGATATCAGAGACAAAAGGGTTCAGCTTTCTGAAGTCATTGTCTCCAACTTATGTGGGCTATGCACAAGGAGAAACTTTCATGAGAAACAACTTATAGAAAAAGTTGAGGTTTATAAAAAATGGATTTTTTCACTCTGAATGTCTCATCCTATTCAACAAGATTTAATCAGCCATCAAAATACTTTCTGCAAATAAAAGTCCAGGACTAGATGGCTTCACTGGTGAATTCTACCAACTGTTTAAAGAATTAATATCAATCCTTCACATCTTATTTAAAAAAAGGAGCAGAGACCAGTTCTCAATTCATTCAATGAAGCTAGTATTACCCTGATGCCCAAATCAGACAAAGATAACGCAAGAAATGAAAACTAAATGTATCCTTTATGGATATAGAGGCGAAAATCCTCAACAAAATATTAGCTAACTGACTCCAGCAACATACCAAAGGGTTATACACCCTGACCAAGTGGGATTGTCCCAAAAAAACAAGGTTAGTTTAACATATGAAAGTCAATCAATGAAACACACCATATTAATAGGAAAGGACAAAACCATACAACTACAACTGTCTCAATAAATGGAGAAAATCATTTTACAAAATTTAATACTTTTTCATGTTAAAAACTCAACAAATAGGAATTATAAAATATGTACTCAACCTGATATAGGGTAACTATTAGTATAAAAACCCACAGCTAACTTCATATTCAATGGTGAAAGACTGAAAACTTCCCCTCTAAGATCAGGGAAAAAACATGGATATTCCATCTCACTGTTTCCATTTAACATTGTACTAGAAGTTCTAGCTAGGGCAATTTGACAAGAAAAAGAAATAAAATAATTCAGATTGGAAATGAAGAAGTAAATTGTATTTGCAGATAACACAATAGTACATAAAGAAAATTCAAAGGAATCCACAAATACCACTAAAATGGGTAAATGATTTTATTTTATTTATTTATTTTTAAAATATATTTTATTGATTTTTACAGAGAGGAAAGGAGAGCTAGAAACATCGATGAGAGAGTAACATCGACCAGCTGCCTCTTGCACACCCCCTACTGGGGATGTGCCTGCAACCAATGTACATGCCCTTGACCGGAATCGAACCCGGGACCCTTAAGTCCACAGACCGATGCTCTACCACTGAGCCAAATCGGTTTTGGCAGATAAATGATTTTAGCCAGGTTGGAGAAGATAAGATCAATAAACAAAAATCAATTAGTATTTCTATACACTAGTATTAGACAACCCCAAAAAGAAAAAAAACTCCAATTCCCTTTATGATTGCATGAAAATAATTAAAAAATTATGAATAAATTGAACAAAATCAAGATTTGTACACTAAATGCTACAAAACACTAATGAAAGGAATTATAGAAGACCTTTCACTTCCTCTCCAGTTCTAAGAATCTAATACTACTTGACTTCCTCCTAAATGTAACGTGAGTTCAAACTGTGAAAGGACTTATAACAAAGCAAGATGCTTCCTCTTCCCACTGTATTTCTATTTGCACACCAGAGCAGGATAGAAGCTTTCCTTTGAAAAACAGTCTCCTAAGACCATGTGATACAGGGCACCTTAACAAAGTTCTACATCATCATAAATTTCTCAAAACTCAAAAACAAACAGATATACTTTCCATTAATTGTAATTTTATAAGAGTTTACTCTCCTTGTTAGATTATGCAAGAGAGAAATTGAGTTCTTTGAAGTTCCACTGATGAGGCTGTGGGGAGCCCAAAATACACTCTTGTTTTGGACTCACAATTACTCTATGCAGTGTAATGGCATAACCTGATAAATTATGCAATTTGATGGCATAGCAACTTGGTAAAAGCTCTGTGCATTTCAAAAATGGATTCCTTTTGGATACTTCCAAAATATATTCTGACTTGAGAATATTTTCTCAATCAAGACGCAGGGTGGCGCTGCAGGCTAAGGCAATGAATAAGTTTGCGTATTCCTTTGTTCCAAGACGGAATCAAATTCACACGGAAGAAGCTTTGCTAGCGGTACTGGGTTACCAGCGAGTTTGGGGGAAGATATACGAAACGAATTTAATATTCAAAGCAACTTTGTGAGGACTCCACCACGCAAGAAATCTCAAGTCTTTTTTGTTGCTGAAGGGACTGGCTGTAAGCTCCCGGGTTCCAACATGGAGACGCTAGAGAGAATTCAACCAAACAGGCAAGTGATGGTCTTTATTTTGGTAGTGTTCTTGTCTCAGGCTCGCTCGGAGCCCATTCGTTATTCTGTGCTGGAAGAAACAGAGAGTGGCTCCTTTGTAGCCCATCTGAGTGAGGACCTGGGCCTGGGAACTGGGGAGTTGGCTGCCAGGTCCGCCCGGGTGGTGTCTGACAATGACAAGCAGTGTTTGTTGCTGGATCATCAGACAGGAGATTTGCTTTTGAAGGAGAAACTAGACCGGGAAGAGCTATGTGGCCCCATTGAACCGTGTGTATTGCATTTCCAGCTGCTGCTGGATACACCGGTGCAATTTTTTGAAGGAGAATTATCAGTCCAGGACATAAATGACCACTCCCCAGTATTCCCGACTAGGGAAATGCTCTTGAAAATACTGGAAAACAGCCAGCCAGGGACTACTTTTCCCTTGAAATTAGCTCAAGATTTGGATGTGGGCAGCAATGGTCTTCAAAAGTACACGATCAGCCCCAATGCATATTTTCATGTTCTTACTCGAAATCATAGTGAGGGTAAGAAATACCCAGATTTGGTGCAGGACAAGGTGCTGGATCGAGAGGAGCAGCCCGAGTTCAGCTTAACCCTCATGGCGCTGGATGGCGGGTCTCCACCTCGGTCTGGCAGTGTCACCGTGAGAATCCTGGTCGTGGATGTTAATGATAATGCTCCTGAGTTTGTGCGCTCCCCGTATCAGGTGCAGGTCCTGGAAAACAGTCCCTTAGATTCTCCGATCATTACTGTCTTAGCCAAGGATAAAGATGCTGGAAACTTCGGAAGAGTTTCCTATGGCTTGTTCCAAGCATCAGATGATATTAAGCAAACTTTCTCAATAAATGAAGTCACAGGAGAAATCCGACTGACAAAGAAATTGGATTTTGAACAAATTAAATCTTACCAAGTGGACATTGAAGCTACGGATGGAGGGGGCCTTTCTGGAAAAGGCACTGTGGTCATAGAGGTGGTGGACGTGAACGACAACGCCCCTGAACTGTTCATATCCTCACTCCTCAGCTCCATCCCAGAAAACGCTCCTGAGACCATAGTCTCCATCTTCCGCATTCGAGACAGGGACTCTGGAAACAACGGAAAGATGATTTGCTCTATTCCAGATAATCTGCCATTCCTTCTAAAACCAACTTTCAAGAATTTCTATACCCTGGTCACAGAGAGCCCCTTGGACAGAGAAAGCAGAGCCCAGTACAACATCACCATCACCGTCATCGACATGGGCACCCCCAGGCTGAAAACCCAGCACAACATCACCCTGCTGGTGTCCGACGTCAACGACAACGCCCCCGCCTTCACCCAGCCCTCCTACAGCCTGTTCCTCCGAGAGAACAACAGCCCCGCCCTGCACATCGGCAGCGTCAGCGCCACAGACAGGGACGCGGGCGCCAACGCCCAGATCACCTACTCGCTGCTGCCGCCCCGGGACCCGCGCCTGCCCCTGGCCTCGCTGGTGGCCATCAACGCCGACACCGGCCAGCTGTTCGCGCTGCGGGCGCTGGACTTCGAGGCGCTGCGGGCGTTCGAGTTCGGCGTGGGCGCCACGGACCGCGGGGCGCCCGCGCTGAGCAGCCAGGCGCTGGTGCGCGTGCAGGTGCTGGACGCCAACGACAACGCGCCCTCCGTGCTGTACCCGCCGCACAACGGCTCCGCGCCCTGCACCGAGCTGGTGCCCAGGGCGGCCGAGCCGGGCTACCTGGTGAGCAAGGTGGTGGCGGTGGACGCCGACTCGGGCCAGAACGCCTGGCTGTCGTTCCAGCTGCTCAGGGCCACGGAGCCCGGGCTGTTCGGCGTGTGGGCGCACAATGGCGAGGTGCGCACGGCGCGGCCGCTGGGCGAGCGCGACGCGGCCAGGCACAGGCTGGTGGTGCTGGTCAGGGACCATGGCGAGCCCGCGCTGTCGGCCAGCGTCACGCTGCACGTGCTGCTGGTGGACGGCTTCTCGCAGCCCTACCTGCCGCTGCCCGAAGCGGCGGCCGAGCAGGCGCGGGCGGATCCGCTGACCGTGTACCTGGTGGTGGCGCTGGCGGCGGTGTCGTCGCTGTTCCTGTTCTCGGTGCTGGCGTTGGTGGCGGTGCGGCTGTGCAGGCGGAGCAGGGCTGCCTGGGCGGGTGGCTGCTCGGTGCCTGAGGGCCACCTTGCTGGCCACCTGGTGGACGTGAGCGGTACTGGGACCCTGTCCCAGAGCTACCAGTATGAGGTGTGTCTGACAGGAGACCCTGGGACTGGTGAGTTCAAGTTCCTGAAACCAATAATCCCTAGCCTCTTGGTTCAGGACCCTGAGAAAGAACAAAAAGAAAATCCTGATTTCCGAAATAGCTTTGTATTCAGTTAAGTGTTGTATTAATTAGTTGAAGTTCTCCTTCATTTTGGCCAACCTAACTTCCACTACAATGCATTTCTTTTAAGGAATTGTATTGTTCTCTAAATATGTATATCTCTATTCCAAACCAATGCATGCCCCTGATCATGCTAGGTTTCTTTCTTCCTTCCTTTCTTTCTTTCTTTCTTCCTGTCTGTCTTTCTTTCCTTTTTTTTTTAAATATATTTATTGGACTTTGCATTTCTACTTACACTAAACATTGAATACGTATTTTCTCCATATTTGACCTTTTCTGTGATTACTCTTTTCATAACTATAAATTACTCAAGTAGTGTAAGAAGACATTTTGTTTAAATCAACTTCTTACTTAGTTAATGTCTTTTTAATGAAACATTTTACAGCTTTTATGCAATATTGCACTTCTATATATTCGTGGCTCTTGTCCTTACCATATACTTTTATCTTTGTGAGACCAGAGTGTAATTTACCTAGACCTTTCTTGTTGACTATTTTACCAGGCTATGCCCCCTGAATAACCATGAGCATATAACTTTGCATACTTATTTCTCCCAAATTGTACATAAAAATGCACTTTATTAAAATATTAACACTCTAAAACTGTGACTTTCCATTGTGAGAATCATAAATGCTAGAGTTTTTCTTATTTTATTTGATTGCTACTTGCCTTGATCATTGTATGTCAGTTCTCCCTAATCAATCTATAGATGTAATAAATCCTAAACAATATTTCAGCAGATTTCTTTGTGAAAATTGAAAAACTGAATCTAAAGTCTATATGGAAATACAAAGGGACAATAATAACCAAAGCAGTCTTAAACAAAAATAATAAAACTGGAGGACCAACAAAACAAACAAACAAACAAACAAAACTGGAGGACTTACCCATCAGATAATAAACCTATTATAAAGCTACATTAAGACAATATTGGCCGAAGCCGGTTTGGCTCAGTAGTAGAGCATTGGTCTGCAGACTGAAAGGTCCCAGGTTCGATTCCGGTCAAGGGCGCTGGTCGATGTTTCTCTCTCATGTTTCTCTCTCATCGACGTTTCTAGCTCTCTATCCGTCTCCCTTCCTCTCTGTAAAAAATCAATAAAATATATATTTTTAAAAAGACAATATTGTATTACAGGATAAACAAAGAGAAACATTGAAAAAAATTGTTAAATAGACCTAAGATTACAGATTTATTATAAAGTGACACCAGAAACGATGGGAAATGGATTCTCTTTTCAATATATGGTAGAAAGTCACTTGAATGTTTATATGAAAAAATAATTTTTTACCCTATCTTCCTTCATATGAAAAAAATAACTTCAAAGGATTATAGCTCTAAATGTGAAAAATAATGTAATTAATTTTTCAAAAACATCATACAAGGATATTTTTATGATTTTGGGGTATGCAAAGACTTAAAGAAAAAACAAATAGTCCTAACCATAACCATTGAGAAATATTGACAGTTTAGACTAAATTAAAGTTTAGGAAGTTTGGTTCATCAAAGATACCTTAAGAGAGTTCAAATCCAAGCCATAGAGTGAGAGAAGATATTTTCAACACAACTTTCTGGAAAAGTACTTTTACCTAGAATATATTAAGAACTTCTAATCATAAATTCAAAAAAAGGCAAATACCCTAATAGAGAAATAGACAAAAGATTTTCAATCACTTCACAAGAATGTACCCTAATGGCCAATAAACATGTGGAAATATACTCAATTTGATTAATCATCATAGAAATACTAAAGTTATAATAAGATATCATCACACACTGACCAGAGTGGTTAATATTAAAAGACAATATCAAATGTTGATAAGAATATGGAGCTACTGGAAAAAATATATATTTAATTGATATTTTACAAAGAGGAAGTTAGAGGGATAGAGAGTCAGAAACATCGATGAGAGAGAAACATAGATCAGCTGCCTCCTTCACACCCCCTACTGGGGATGTGCTAGCAATCAAGGTACTTGCCCTTGACTGGAATTGAACCTGGGGCCCTTCAGTCTGCAGGCCGACACTCTATCCACTGAGCCAAACCAGTCAGGACAGAACTCTTGCTTTTTGCTGGTTTGGATAAAACAACATTTGAAAACTGTTTTTGCAATATCTGCTAAAGCTAAATATATGTGTGCATTGTAATGCACAGAAATTTAACTCAGAAATTTAATACATAGGAATGTATTAAACATAAATGCACATATGGACATCAAAAGATGGGTATAAGAATGTTTATAGCAACAAAATTTAAAATATCCCCAATCTAGACAACTCCAATCTCCAACAACTGAAGCATGAATAAACAAATCAAGGTATATCATACAATAGAATGCTAAGGCAATGAGAATAAAATAAAACAGAATATACAACAGATAAATTTTACAAACATAATGTTGAGTGAAACAAGAAAAACACAAAAAAAGCAAATACTCTGTAACTCCATTTGTATAAATATTCCAAAAATGTAAGTTAGGAGAGTGCTTACCTTTGCGGGGAAGAGGTAGTGGCCAGACAAGAACAGAAGGAGGCTTGCAGAGTCTGATAACATTTTAGTTTCAATTTGGTTCTGCTTATAGGAGTGCCTTTACTTCGTGAAAGTTCTTTGAATTGTACACTTATGATTTGTACCCTTTTTTGATGTATGTTATATTTAAAGATAAAAGTAATGTTTGTAGGCTCTGGCCAGGTAGCTCAGTTACAGCAGCATCCTATCCATACACCAAGGTTGTGGGTTCCATCTCCTATCAGGGCACGTACAAGACGCAGCCAAGGAATGCATAGATAAGTGAAACAACAAATCTGTTTCTCTCTCTCCTTCCCCATCTCTAAAGTAAATAAAATTTAAAAATAATTTTGTAAAATTGTAAACTTTTGTAAACATCCATTTACTTACTTCTTAAATATAATAAAACCAAAAACTCTTTAAAAAGTTTTGTCACTTACTCAAAAGGTACTTCATGAAGAAAGTTCATTTTATTTTTTATTTTCGTATCATTTTACTT